ATGCCTGACATCCTAAGGGACGCACAAACACTTTTACACTACATTTGTACTCTGGAACAAGGCATTTGTTTTGGCAAAGCACCTTCGCGGAGAAATGTAGAAAGGCCACAGGCACTTGTCTTCCCGAAACTGATTGACGTTGGCACAAAAACAGGAGTCATAAGGGCTTTTATTGCACCTCAAGACGTGCCAGTCAGTTTGTTCCTCTAGCTAAGGCAAGCGATACAAGATCACACATAATACACTACTGTTTTATTGCTTTTCCTCTTTTCAAAATCAGTCTTCCTCCCTCAGAAATTTGTCATGTTTTATTGGATGACTTGAATACGATACAGTGCCAGTTGTCATTGGAACCTAAATATCTCATTGTTCCATCTAGTATCCAAACACTGTTTTTTAAAATCATTTTCTAGTGACACAAAAATAATTGCTACTATTACTGTAGCCATTTACATTGACCTCKGGGTTACTTTAGAAATCAAGCTATGTTCTGCTGCCAACCTGCTGAAAAACTGCTCCCTGTAAAAACAAACGTCCCTGTGCAAGTGTGACAGATGGGCTTGGTGATTTATTTATTTATTTATTTATTTATTTATTTATTTATTTATTTATTTTTGATAATTTTCCAGTAATCCTCAGTAGAAGAGTGATTAGTTTATTGCTGTGAGGTTTTAGTTTTTGGTGCGGCTCATGCATTTTGTAAACTAGTGTGGTTTAAAATGTTAGTTCTAACCTCTTGTGTCTCTTTAAGTGTTTGAGACCGTCTCTGATTTGGACCCATGAGGAGACTAGGACAACCAACCAAACTGCAAAAGACACGTTTGACACTTTGCATAATGCAGTGTGTCTAAGGGGAAAATATAGAAGCCTAAATATTTTTAAGCACCAGATTCTATCATATTCATTAAAATCACACTTAAGGTTTTTTGTTATTATTATTTTTATGTTTTGAATTTGCACTGTATCTAGGGATTGGTCACCTCTTCCCTCATCAATCTATTCCTCAGTGTATTGGGGGAGGGTAATCCGTTCTTCCCATATGTTAGATAGGGACTGTGAGATTAGGCAGACCCTGCGAGAGGATTAAGGCATCAGGGTTTGGGTCCCCTTCTTTCTCGCTTGCTCTCTAACTGTCCCACCCCCTCCACCTGCTTCCTGCCATCTACTTGGGCTGATCAGCCCCCTCTCACACTCCTCACCCCCCCACCCCCAGGCAAATATCCAATCTCTAGAGTGTTTTGGCTGTTGAATGAAGAGGCAGAGGGCAGATTAATGTCAAGGTCATTTATTTTGTGCAGATGAAAGTTTTAATTTACACATAATAATTTGATAGTTATGGGGACAAACAGAGTTGACATATTCAAAAAAAAAAAAGTGTAAACTGTATATTTGTCCTAAGTAATCAGTGATTGTCCTCATTCATTAACAAGCATGATATAGTTGGACATTAATTAAATTGTGTGTTATCCAAAGTGTCGTGGACAGCTGTACTTCTTCATTAATATTACTTTTTAATAATAATGCTGTACATCTCTAGATTCTGGTCAGAATAAACGTTAAACACAACCAAACAAAAACCGGTGTAGGAATAATTAATGGCTCAGATCTATTTGAGCTCCCTTTCAGATTTGTTCTGAAATATGTTGTCTTTTTTGACTGTMACAGATCAATAAAAACCCTCCCTCATTAAAACACCTCAGTTGTTGAAAGTCCACTGACACAAGTTGCATAGTTTTGTCCCAAAATATGTCTTGTGTTTTAATTGGCTTAGTATGCCAAGATATGATTACTGCTTATTATTAAAAAAGGAAATTACAAAAATTGTCCTAATTAATGATTGGTTGAATTAGATGGTCTTTTTGTCTTTTCAGCAGTAAAACAAAATGTAGCTTCTCTTTAATTTCTTAGTTCTTTTTTCACTAATTTAATTTCTGTTCTTCTCTCCATTTGCTCTAAATCCCAAATGTGACCCAGATGTTGTAATGCAACACATATAAGACAGAGAATTTGTCCAAGTGCCGCTCTTCTTCCTTTCTCTTCATCATCCCCCTCTCGACACTTTTCTCCTCCTCTTTCTCCCCTCTAGTGTCGAGGGCTGTAATTGATGTGCCAACGGCAATAAATCAGCACAGCTTTATACCGCCACCATTATCTGAACGGGCAGGTTTGGAGAAAAGGCTGAGGTTATCCAGCTCTGCTCCGCCAACACCTCACAAAATTTTCAGCACCCAGAGTAAAAAAAAAACAAAAAACAAAAACAAAACAAAAAAAAAAACAACTTGTCTGTTTAAAAAAAGGGGAATAATAAAAGGAGAGTGAAATAAAGCTCAGGATAATCTCCGTTTCTTATGGCGTTCTTTTTTTTTTCTGTTTAAGAAGTGCGTCTTATTCCATTTTCCAATGCCTATTGGGTAGGGATTCAGTTTTGTCAGTTGATGGGATATGCCAAGATCAAATTCAATCAACTTGCCCCCTTTTTACAGCCCACTGTCTCTAATGCTTTCCATTTAATTGATAAAGGCTTTCACTCCCCCAATTCATTCATTGCTCATTCCCAGAGCGTCAGACATGCTCCAGTCCAAAATGATTGACGCGTTTTCCCTGATGGTGCCAGATATGATTCGCAACCTTCCCACCATTTCACTGAAACTCTGGAGAAAAGGGAAATTGAAGAAGGTTTTGAGGGATAAGGGTGGKGAGAAGTAAATGGAGAAAATTTGAGAAAAAAGTAATTTGTTCAAGAGTCAAAGTCAGAACCTGTCATAWACAGCAAGGTGTGTCGTGAAGGAGTTTCAGGGGGTGGGGTGGTATCAGTGGTAACATTCACTGTGATTTATTTTTTTTAACGTCTCGTTTCTTGCCCTCGAAGTTCTGAAGTATGTTTCATTATGCCTTATTGACCACTAGATAAAAGCAGTCATAGACTCCAGGTGCAATTTGTCGTTAGATTCACATTCCCTTCCCAACTGTAGCTGGCCTAAATGAAGAGAGATTACAGGAGGGACACTTTTTCCCAGGTTCTGTCCCATTCTTTATCACACATTAGCTCGCCTGCTCTCTCTGCCTCATTGTGTCTTTGCCTCTCTCYGAAATGACAAAGGAAAATGAGGCAGCCAGCCTCCCTACGCGCCGCCACGCTTTAAATTGACATCTGCTCTCATCACTCCATGCGACTGTACAGTTGAGCAAGAAATTAGTTTTTTTATAGGCTGGCTTGTCACTTTATTGTGCCTGCTTGTGCCAAAGAGGCCGCGATTCGCACTGAGTCYTTTTAATCTCTCTAAGTGGAGAGTAGGGGTATATCTGATAATTYCAGGCCCTTCTGTCTGCAGTTTTCTTGCTGAAGTGCTTCTATCCYCAGGGCTCCCCTGGTGTTTGATTCAAGCAAAGGTGTAGCCCTGATTAAACTGCAGTAAAAGACCAGGTTTTTGTTTGTCCACACTTTATGCCCATGCAGTGTCTGTCTCTTTTTTATATTGTAAAATGACTTTGTATTTGCCAGGCCAAAGTTTACATGACTTTATGACTAAGCTTGTGCCAGTGGAGTTATAGTCTGCTATTTCATGGACTGTCTACACTGTTGTTTTCTTTTTCCTCTCTTCACCTAGACTTCATAGTTTGAAGCAGTAGTGTCTATTAATGATAATCTTTCTTACAGCAGTACTTTCAAATGCTGTTTTACACTCGTGTATTTTCTTTTTCTAAGCATAACTTTTCAAAGTGAAGCAGAAATCTGTTTTTGAAGCAGACTCAGATGCTTTCCTAATGGCTCGGTGATTAATAGACAGATTGCTTTGTGTCTAAGTGTCTCACCAGAAGAAAAGGAAGTGGAAAGCAAGTTGGGGAGACTTGAGGGAAAAAAAGACAAAACATTTTTCCTCATTACGCATCTGTCCTTCCTCTTTCATTTCTTTGTGTAACATTCTTACCTCCTCTTTCCTACTTTCCTACCTTCTCTTTGTTGTGTGTCATCTTTTCCAATTTGTTATGGCCGTAAAACACCCTTTGCTCAGTTTTGATAGTCAAGGTGAAATTGAAGCGATGGTACCAGGGAGGGTTGCATCCTGTTCTGCATAATTAACATTTACAGTAGAACTAATGTTTTGATATGACAGGGGCATGATTGGCCTGTCAAGTAGCAGCATGCCGTTGGCAAACCTSTCTCTTAATCTTTGTATTTGGTGTTGACAATGCCGCGGGGTACATTGTGAGCTTTGCAGAACATTTTGTTTCTGTGAAACCTTTTGAGTAAACGTAAGCTAAACAAATATGTATCTTTTACATTTTTAATTTTTTATGTTTCCAAATAAGCTGACAGTTTAAAAATTGACATGTGGGCAGAATATTAAGCTGAAGAATAAGTTTGTCACAATGAGAAAAAAATAAAATCTTATGCTCTTTTCCCCCCAATTAGTTTATCAGGTATACTAAGTTCAGTTTATACAATACCAGAAACATTTGGAGTAGTTTTTGCCTTCATTCTCTGCTGCCCTAATGGTTGTTACCAATTTGCACGAGCTAAAATTGTAATTACAGTGCGAAGAAACCAGTTAGTGTGTTAAATTTGATGCAGTTCAAACCATGACATGAAAGCCTTTAAGCAAACAGAGTTACAAATTGCTTGCTGTCAATTTTTCAGTCCCTGCTGGCAGTTTTTCAAGCGCAAACCTCTAAAACCACCGCTGAAAGTTATGAAATACGAGCCAGTTTAATGCTGTGCATCCATAACTCATTGCTATACTCAAATTTTGTGTTGAGAGCTTTTAATAATCGACTCCTGCCTCCCCTGCATCTACGCTCATAATTCACTGTTGACACATTTGCCTTCCAGACTTGATTTGATATTATTTATATTTTGCCAAGCAAATTTCAGTGTGCTTTCCCCCATTATTGTAACTGTAATTTTCAGGCCTTTTAGGCCTCTCTGCCTTCTTGATGCATAATCAATAGGAAATGTCCCTTGAAAACTCTAACAAATTTTTTTTCTATTTGCCTTTTAGGTCTCCCTCTTTGTGCCTGTTTGGATGATGTTCCTGATGACTGCTCTCAGAGCTYAAAACAGGGCAGTGGATCAATAGGAGTTCTGTTTCTCCTTCCCTGCTCCTTCACTCCCTCAAGCTCTCCTTCCTTATTCTTTTAAAGTAGAAGAGAAAACAAATAATCCTGCATAGGATCTACGCACCAGAGCTTGTACGCTTCCTCCTCCTCTCTTTCTCCTTTCCCATCCCCCCAGCCTTGCCTCTGTGGACACCCCAGTTATGTATCTTCTCAGTCGGTTAGTAACCCTCCCTAGCCAGGGGAACTTGTTACTCCTCTTGGGGTTTTTAGTCATCATGGGCCCATCCCTCTCTGAAGGACAACCCCCACCTTTCAAACAGTTTGCCCGCTCTGACTGTTTGCTCACACATTTGGCCATCCACAACAAGACTGGAGAAGTCTACGTGGGAGCTGTCAACTGGATTTTCAAGCTGTCTAGCAACCTGACTGAACTGCGAAGCCATGTGACTGGTTCAGTGGTAGACAATGAGAAGTGCTATCCTCCACCCAGTGTCCAGTCCTGCCCTTACGATCTGGCCCAGACCCCCAATGTGAACAAGCTGCTCCTTATAGACTATGCACAGAACCGCCTCATTGCATGTGGCAGCACGTCGCAGGGTATTTGTCAGTTCCTGCGCCTGGATGACCTCTTTAAGCTTGGGGAGCCTCACCACCGTAAGGAGCACTACCTCTCCAGTGTGGCAGAGTCGGGTACAATGTCAGGAGTTATCATAAGCTCCCCCCAAAGTCCTACCAGCAAGTTATTCATTGGAACCCCTATTGATGGCAAATCGGAGTACTTCCCTACCTTGTCCAGCCGGAAGTTGATGGAGAATGAGGAAAATGCAGACATGTTTAGCTTTGTTTATCAGGATGAGTTTGTCTCTTCTCAGCTAAAGATCCCTTCAGACACGCTGTCCAAGTTTCCTGCTTTCGACATCTATTATGTTTACAGCTTCAGCAGTGAACAGTTTGTCTACTATTTAACAATGCAGCTAGACACTCAGCTGACCTCACCTGATGCCAGCGGAGAGCAGTTTTTTACCTCCAAAATTGTCCGCCTCTGCATGGATGACCCAAAATTTTATTCCTATGTTGAGTTCCCCATTGGCTGCACTAAAGATGGGATAGAGTACCGTTTGGTGCAGGATGCTTTCTTGGCTCGGCCGGGCCGGCAGCTGGCCAACTCTCTGGGGATTTCAGAGAATGAAGACATCCTCTTCACGGTGTTCTCTCAGGGTCAGAAAAATCGGGAAAAACCACCTAAAGAGTCAGCGTTATGCCTGTTCACCCTGAGGAAGATAAAGGAGAAGATCAAAGAAAGAATTCAGTCTTGCTACAAGGGAGAGGGAAAACTTTCTTTACCRTGGCTGCTTAATAAGGAGCTGGAATGCATCAACTCGGTAAGCTCAAACCCTTGTCTTTGTTAAAGTTTTTAAAAGTGCTACTGAATACATTACCTTGATATGTGTACTGCCTGGTTGTTTCTTACTAACTTCCTCTCTGTAACTTCATTGATAAGGACCAAACACATGGTGATTACCCATATAAGACATTAAAATACATCTGTTTTTCTTCTACCGTATTCCTTTTATTTTTTTTCTTCACATTTTCACTCTCCCCACAACCTCTTGAAGCTCTGATTCAGTCAGACAGGGGACATCATTAGCCCAGTCCTCTGGATTTGTGAATTGTCACTCAAGAGGAGCACTCACACACATCCACACTTTGTGCACACAGCGTGGCTCGATGCGCTGAAGTGTAAGATCCCAAGGGATAGTGTGAGTTGGACTTGGTTTTTCCTAACTGATCCACTGAGCGTGGCCTTGCATGCATTACAGAAAGACACCACTTGCACAGATATGTACACTTGCATTGGCTAACAACGGTGACCTAAAGGCACTACAGAAAAACACACATGTAGTTCTCACCGTCTTTCACATACAGTATATACCTTTTTACTATTTCGTATTTCTCTCTAATATGGCACAAAAAATGACATCATTTTTTTCATTTGGCACTTTTTGTCTTTATAAAACATGTCAACACAGGGTATTCTCTCTGAGCAGCTTCTAATGGAGTAGGCTGGAAAGAATAAGGCTTTTTTTTTGTCTTTGTTGATCTTCATTAGCTTAAAGGCACAGATTTGTTGTAAGTAATGTGAATGCCTTAGAGCTCCTTTATTCCTCTCTCTTGCCACCTTCTGTAGATGTGAGCTCTTTGTCTTCAGTGGTTGTCTTCATTCTTAGTGCACATCACTCTAACAATAGCTTTAAGGCCATAACGGAGAGCATCTCATTTATTTCAATTAGATTAGCCAGAGCTATTGGTGTGGAGGGTTGTTTGACTCAACCTTCTATGGAGTTTAGGGGTTCTAGTAGACTCAGTGTGCCTACAAGTGCCATATGTGCCAGGCTGATGATAAAAGATTTTTTCCCTTGTTCATTTAAGTTGGCTTGATGGATAGACAAGAAACACATCAATGTTAAGGATGGGTACCTTTGACATTTGGATCCATTCGGTACCAATGTCCAGTACCTGGGAATCTGTACCGGTACTCAACGGTACCAATTTTCGGTACTTCGTGTGTGTGTGTTTTTTTCTAATAATGAACTTTTTTTTAATTCAACATATTTCTGAATATATAAAATTTAACAAATGTCAAGACAACATCCAACTCTGTGTATTGTAACATCAGTTTTTTAACTAATTTCTTTAAAGTGAAAACTCTTGAAAACAACAAGACTGTTTTGTCTTATTGCACAAATTAAAATCCAGCTCCACATATTTCTATTGATGTCATTTCCCTGCTTGAAAAATTGCGATMGAGATCCATGGAAGGCAAATAAGTTTAAATCAAATAAGCAAAAGAGGATGGAGTTAAAATAAATAAAAGGTATTCAAGTTACGTTTTGAGCATCCAAAACACGTCCAACACTTCAAGTTAGCTGCTTGTGCTCTTTCAGGTCAGACACGTTCTGACTGTCGGGGAGTGCCTTTGTTGTTTTCCTCTGCCGGTCTCTGTTTAATGGTGGATGAAATAAAGAAAGTGGCGAAACTTTATTTACTTTGAGCAAGCGAACGTCGTGTTTAGGGCTGCCACAATTAATCGATTAATCGATGACTAATCGATTATTAAAATAATCGATGACTAATTTAATAATCGATTAATCGTTTTCTTTTTTTTGTTGTTGTTCTTTACTTTGTTTTTCTCTCCAAACTGCTTTGACACCTTCCACTGCCACATCTGCCTTTCTGTCCTTGACACACATGCACAGTAGTGGTAACTGGGGTAGGCCGTGGACGTCACAAGACATTATACAGACAGGCTCTGGTATCATGGCTACCCAGCAACGGAGCTCAAAACTGTGGGAACTTTTTAAGAAAATGAAAGAGAAACCTGTGCAATATCTGCAGAGCAGAACCTGCCTTCCACAGCAGTTATTTTTAGTTAACATTTAGCTAAAATCTAATGATGGTTATACAATAGCAGCTGCATTCTGACGTGATAAGCTGTATGTTTTATATTCAATTAACGTATGATCCGATTAGTCGACTAATCGAATAAATAATCGGTGATTAATCGATTATTAAAATAATCGTTTGTGGCAGCCTTAGTCGTGTTCACAAGATAATTAATCCACCAGATAATTCAGAGGCGGTCTGTTTGGCGAGTTTTACTCCAGGAGCTGCGAGGCTTTCAAGCTACATTCAGACCGAGCTCTGCCTCTGTTTACTGAACCAGCGGCTGCTGATGTCATTACGCTCCTGCYTGATGCTGCGTTCAGGACAAGCATGGAATATCTCCCACTCTTACGCCAATATGGTCGCAATGATGCGTTTAGGTACCAAAACTTGGTACCGTTTGATGTTATGTGAATAGGTTCTCGGTAGTACCGACAGAATTCGATCTGTACTTAAAAAATTATCGAATTTGGTACCCATCCCTAGTCAATATAGATTAGAGGTTTACATGAAACGTAACTTTGTTGTCTTTCACAAGTTACAGCAGAAAAAGCATACATGTTTCCATTAACAATAGCTATGGCTTCATTTAAATTTTCTAATTAAACACAGCACTGCTGGAATGCAAACAATTTAAAATCACTCAGTTGCTTTTACATATTTATTGTCATGATGACACAACAATGCTATTCCCATTAAGAAATATTTTCCTTTTTTGTGTGTTTTGAAGTTTTATATTTGCTAAAAGCCAATTTAAACTTTCAGGATTGTCTCGTTTTCATTCATACCTCAAAAATTCACTCATGTCCTCACTTTGTCCCTCTGTTCTGCTTCCCATCTCATTCTGCCCGGCATGTTACCATGGTTACTGTGCTTTTGGTAAGGATTGCATCCACCAATGATTTATCATCTTCTAGACATCATTTCAAAAACTATTGTGCTGTTGAAACTGTCATCATTGGTGATGCAATAGCTGCACAAGAAAAGGCTGACTGGATGACCTCATGACAGCAGCAAGACCTAAGAGGTCAGCTTTAGGTTAATGACGTCTGCTCCGATTGCCCTAAAAACCCACTTGAAGTCAGCTGCCCAACTCTGACCTCAGCCTCGGCACAAAGAATCTATAATCTGATATAATTTTTTCAGTGTGATGTGCTGCACAAAATAACTAAACACTACAAGCACAGAGTATACCAGAAAAAGATGTATTAATCAGAAGAGTCAAAGTAAAACTTAACATTGTGTGCTTTTTWTAATAGTAAGTGAATCTGTTCACATACTAATCAATGTGTACAGAATCATAGATTTGTCTTMGTCATTTGACTCAGTCTGAGCACTGATATATTTTTGACTTTAGGTATTTAGGTACAAATATTTCAGTTTAGGTGTGTTAAATCTGTGTTAAAGCAGTGTTGAAAAATAAGTAATCAAATGAACAGATACAAAACTAGCATACAGATCATATTTACAAGACTATTAGAATAATTTTACACACTATTTKATGTACTAGTTGAGTTTAAATGGAGGAAAAGGTAGAATTTTTATTTCTATTGTATGGCAGTGTACAACAAAACAGAAAGAAAAATACATATACTTTTAAAAATAAGCTGTTAAAAACCTAAACTTAAATCTAACTTCCTAAATGATTGAAGTAGTGGGACATTTTATAAAATTAAACATTTAGAATAGGATCATTAAAATAGTTCTGTCTTAGATTATAGAATTTACACATAAATTTTGATTTACTGTCTGATAACCAGCTATACTGTTGTTAAAMTGGTATGAACTCAGTCATGTTACTTATTAACTGCATTACATGGCAGAATCTGTACGATTTCTAAACGAATCACAAGTCAGATTTACAGTATCAGATCAGTTCTTGCTGCTAAACAACATATTTGTTAAATATTGCTGTGACAAGGAAGAATGTATATATTTTTTAGTTTTGTTAATTTAAGCCCCTCCTAAAGTTAAGGAATTTAAATGCATTCTTAGCAGTGTGGGAGGTGCACTGTGACACGGGGGTGTAGGGTGAATGTGTGTAGGTTGACCCCGCCGTGGTGCAGTGGAGAGGCCAGGGCTGGGTGGGTGGTGGGGGGGCTGGGTAGACCTGAACAGCTGTTAACCACACAGACATGATTGATCACTAGGCGCTCTGTTAACTGTTCGTATGACGTTTAGTAGCATTAGCTCATTTCATGCCTTTGGCCATCATTAAGATGATATGTTTTTATTAGCAAGTCAGTGGGTGTTTTTAGTAAACGTAAATGTTAAGGCATCCTAGACATAGGTCTTTGATAACACACGCTTTCATAAATAAAGCACACTCCTACTGTTTAACAACTCAGCTCTGTAACCGGCTATATTTGTCTCCCGTTGGTGAGCGATGTGTCTCAGTTTTGTCCCTGAGCTTTATTAGTGAACCTCTGACCTTCTCCCCAGTTTGAGAGTGAATCAATATAAAGCATTTCCACAGAAGGAAAAGGAGAGGGTGGAAGAGTGTTGCTAAGTTAGGTCTGAGTGAGAGGAACGTCACTGAAAACATAGAAAAGAGCGCAATGAGAAGAGAGGGGAAAACAAGAAAGAGGACTCATATAGAGGTGAGAGCAAGACGGCATGAACAGGGATCTTGCAGAAAGTGAAAGAGAGAAAAAGGCAGCCAGAACCAGGGAGGGAGATGAGAGAGCAGGAGAGAAAGGTGCGAGATGTGGGTGGATATAAAAATGAAAGAACACAGAGTCAGAACCAGTGGAAGAGTTGGATGCCAAAGAAACATGCTGGAGAGAGAACAGGAATTTGAAGGATAGTGTTGAGGAGATGAGGAAAGCAGAGAGAGCAAAAAAGGTAGGAGTGAGCCAAGGGAGACGCCCAAAGGAAGAGAAATGATAAAAAAAAAAAAAAAAACACAATTTCCTGAGTTTGCACCCAACCCAAAAGT